CAAATTTTCTAGACCATTCCATCCTCTTCTCAAAGTTTCAGTGATTTTATTGCAATCATAACGGTAACTTGGGCCGAGGCACGGCCAACCCTTTCTGTTGCATTAGCCACGACCAATACCGGCGCCATCTTTCTCGCTGTCACCTCCATCCTTTCCCCTCCCCCGCTCTCTACCCCTTTCTCATCGGCGCGCTACCCACCCCCTCCGCTTTGCAGGTCCGTGCCCGCCAGCAGGTCTGCGCTCACCCCCTTCACACCCCCTTGGAGAGGCCCAGCGTTAGTTTTTTGTGCTTTCGGAGACCGAAGCTTTTTTATGGGGCCGAAGCCGTGCGAGAGAGCTGCAGAAATTTGAGGGACACAACCCTTTCGTACCCCGAGATGAGGAGGCAGCTTTCACCGCCACAAATCACCTTCCAGCCACCCCCTCCCCCAACCCGTCCCGGTAGTGGTTCCTCTCTGCCCCCGGCACGTCGCCGCCGTCCGCAGGGGCTTTGTGGGGGCGTAATCGAAGGGCGTTTTTTTCGGGATTTTTTCTTGTCTTTTGTCGTTGGCGGTTTCAATAGTGTGAGTTACTGTGGTGCCGTAAACGAATTTGTAAGAAAACGTTTTACCCCTGCTGGTATCTGGTTTCGCTCGTTGCTTTTACAGCACGCTGTTCTTACTCCGGAAATGTTTGCTGGTGGACGCAAGTGTTCAAAACGAAAAGAGGGTTCAGTGACCGATGTTTCAGAAAGGGCTAAACGCACACAATGCGTCCAGAGGCAGAGCCTTGCGTAATGTTAGATAAATAGCTCCTTCTCTCCAAGGTAATGCAATTCTCCTGGAACTAATAACTTTTCTAATAAATGCAGTAATTGTATTCTGAGTGAGTTTTACGTATCATGTGTCTGTAAAATTATATTGACTATGAAAATGTTTGATTATTTAATAAAACGAAAATAATGTTTATCGTAAGTAATACCAGGAGTGCTTTGGAAATTGTCAATAAACCCTGATATCTGAAGCGAGGAGGGGATTTATCTGATTATTTCCAAAGCACGAGTGGTATTTAACAGGACTATTACACTCGCGAAATTAAAACCAATAGCCTTTAACTATACATATAAAATGCCTCACTCAGGGCGGTGCATCTTACAAACATGTATTGCTTTGTCTAACCGACCCGTTTCTTACCGTCCCTTCCTACTATCCAAAACGAAATTTTCCACAACATGAAATTTTTCCATTGCTTTAGTGTATTAGAGAGTTCAGAAAAATATGAATGTACTGATACATTCGTGATGTCAATAAATAATAAAAACATACAAGCTTATCTTAAAATTTCCAATTTTATACACAAGTTTCGAGAGAATGCCGACCGGACTGCCATGTGACCTGTTCCGGCACCAATTTTTCTTCTCGGTCTACTAATATTCCTTCTTTATAGTTCATAGCTATGAATGAAAGTCGGTTCGTTGGCATTCTTGATACATCATTGTACCATTTAAACTTATTTTCGAGAATGTTTTCGCACAATTATTTGACTTTTAAAACATCTCTTATTTCAGAATTCTTTTCCTTGTTCAGTAGGGAGCGTTTGTTTCACAAAAACTTCATTTCTATCGTTTGTAACTATTTCTATCGTTGAGTAGTCTGAACTAGCGTGAGGGGTTTAAAGTGTGTTTAAGAAGGCAAAAAAATAAAGTTTTAAGAAATATTACATGAACAAATTAATATTTATTTATCTAATGATTTCAATAAATATCTAATTATTTGCGAACAAATATTTCATAACGATACTAATCTATATATTTATTTAATTATAGTGTATATTTTTATTTAATTATATCATGTGTTTATTTAACTCTTCTCAATCAACACAATTTTTAGGGGACAGAGAAAGTACCCATATCTAGCTTAATTTGTCTAGAATAAACAGCAAGAAGATTTTCCAAAAGTTTCCAGTTGAGCTCATTTTTTTATTATGGTATTCCGAAGATCAATGAAATGAAATTGCGTTAACGTCGATATTTCTCTTGCCGCTTTACCTACCATTTTGCTCCTCACGTGAACTGTATCGCCGTTCAGAGGTCTTTTGTTTAGGTAGGGTATCAGACGCACGTCACGTAACTGCCCTGGCCATTGTGTTCCTCTTCAAATATTGAAAGTCCGCAATACACGCTCGCTCATTCGATGTGACTCGATTGAATTGCCCAGCAGTCGCCCGTCTTCCACGGTCGAAGTCTCAAGATTCTGTGTACAAATCGTGTAAAAAAAGAAAGACGACGAGTCGCCAGCTTGTGTGCACAAGTAAAGCCAAAGACGTTCGTATCGTAGGGGTGGGGCCGACCGTTTGACTCCAGACGCATTAGGTGCAGGTTCAGAAGACTACACAACGGGAGGTGAAACTCCATGGCAATGAAACGTAGGACGCACGTCTCCGATTTACTTGGCGTCTAGGTCATCGGATCTATCGAGTAGTAAAAAATTGCGCGTAATAGAATAATTTTAAAAATATGGCAATGATTAAAATAACATTAAAACAATTCAAACGAATCAAATAGTCATAAAACAAGTGAATCTAATAGTATTTGCATATGATCATTTTAAAAGTTTTTAGTTTTGATCAAAACCACTAGATGTCTCTAGATTCAATATATATGATAAACGATCTTTGAGATTTCAAAGTAATTGTGGGAGGAAGAGAAGTCAAGGAAGAGGAAGGCAATATTGCGCGTAGTCCATGGCCCGTTTGTTAGGGTACTACACCGGCATTCGCCTAGTGTTGATTAGAGACATTAAGGAAAACTACCGATCAGAGCAGGCGGTAGAATTATCCTCCGGACAGCGGCTGCATTAGACCTATCTATGTAGCTAGAGTCGAAAATCTTGCCATCGTCGGTACTCGAACCCTATTTTCTCTTTTAAAACACTGATCCACAAAGTGCGGAACGTTTGTAAGGCTCCAGCCACTACGCTTTATTCTCACAGCGGCACCGATTGAGCCCCGAATGTCAAAGTGCTCCAGCTGCGTACAATGAAGGCTGTTGGGACGGCAGGGGGGATGCGAAGGGCGGCTGGACGAGCAAAGGCGGCGTCCAGGAGCGGAAGGCGGAGAAGGGCCGGCAGAAATAACGCAATTATGGTATTGATCCCCGCGGGGTCGGCGGCCGCCCGCGGAGACTTTTATGGCGGGCAATGCTTCCGTCTTGTTAGGGCGCGCCGCTTCGCTTCCCCGGCTGCGTGCCGCGGAGGCGGCGTGGGGCGGAGTGGTGGCGATGGTGCTGGGGTGCTCGTGGCTGTGGCGGAGGTAGTGGCGGCGGAGATAGCGGCGCAGGTGCCAGCATTGGAGGCAGCAGGTTGTGGAGGGAGGGTGCAGTGGGAGCGGTGGGGAGAGGGAATGGCTGGAGGCTGAGGGTGGCGGGTGGATCATGGCAGTGCAGGTGACAAATTCGATTTGATGGCTGGGATATGGGGCTGGATTCGGCAGTGGTGATTGGGAGGTGCTGCACATGGTGATGGTGATGAGTGGCGGTGGTGATGGCGGGGAGGCGATGGGGCGATGAGACGATGGGGAGGCTACTTGCTCAGGGATGTTGAGTGGGATGGCGGCGGAGAGGAGTGGCGTAGAGGTGGAGCAGGGAACCGCGTATACGTGTGCGCAGCAGCTATGGCAACGTTTTCCGCTCCTATATTGCGATTTTCGAACTCTTCCCCTGGCAGGTGTCAGCTGTTCGGTATCCAATCGGTATCTGTAACGTCATCATAGTGACGTCTCTATTGTGACGTTCAAGCTTCCGATTGGAGGAAACCGTAAACAGCTGATACCTGCCAGGGGCAAAATTGCATAAATCACAGTATAATTAGCAGGACTAGCCCCATCTCTGTTGTGGCGCTTGTCTTGCTATGTGATATTCAAGGATACTTGGTAACTTGCGACACGCCGTATAGCGTGTGTTTTTTTAGCCTGAAAATTCCGTCAACCTGGACTAAATTCGAACCCTTGCATCACCGTGCGAGATAGATACCTTCAGCTACGCTTCTAGCGCTGTGACTCGTGCACGACCGCAGGGAAGGTGAATTAAAATGAAACATGAGGTGGAAAATTGGTCATCGATGGAGGCGTTGATCGCAGTTACTGTTACACATTTGCGCGATCATGGCAGAAGGTGGATGGTGGAACTGATGGAACATGAAGGAGACGTTTTCAGTTAGTACTAATAGGGCTGGGGGATACGGAACATGAAGTGAGATGTTGGGAGGATATACCGTATAAGGGATGATATATTTTCTAAATGTGATGTTTGTGAAAATAATATCTGACGGGATGGGATATGAAGAGGGTAATCTCCATGGTGAAATGTGCCAGCAAGGATTTTCCTCTGACAATACTTGTTGTTAGCTGTAATGCTTAAATTCTACGAGTCGCATCGAGAAAGTAAGATTTCTTGGGTTGTCAACAAAAAGAAAACACAACAAACGCTGGACTATTTTTCCAAATAATCACCATAATTGAGGCATTGGTATCGCAGTGTCATAGAAATACCTGGGGTATCAGTGTTTGACATCTTCTTGCAACACACTGATGCATGTGTAATGCTCACCGAGCTGAAATTTCTTGAGGTGTATCAAAAGAAGTAAATTGCTGGAGGGGTGGGGTGGAATCAGGAATAAGAGATCGTTGGTCTTGCGGTCGGTCACTTACGGCTCAGATCACATATCTCATGTAGCACTTTCTCTGGGAGATGTTTCAACACCAGAAATTCTAATACTAACGCTTAACAAATAATCGAATGTACAAGCATTATTGAAAAATTAAATTCCTCTGATATATTCCAGGATGGTCAGAGGACCAGTTTTCTCCACAGTGATACCATGGTTGTAAATAAGGTAGATATGGAACGTCGAGTTAGTGAGAAGGAGGGAGGGAGACAAAGGGAAAAATGACATTGAGGAGAGGTTAGACGTGATGGAGGTGGATTACGTAGCAAGTGGGATTTGTAGAGTTGTGGCGTAGCGAAAATGGAATATGGAGGACCAGACGACGTACAGCCGCGATGGCGACGTCGTGATGTGTATGGTGGACCGGGAGCAGCGGGGATGGAAGCGGCGTGTGAACGCGTAATTGGCGCCTCGTCGCATCGCGTGGCTTTTCTAAAAGCGGGGCGGGGGCGGGGCGGGGGCGGGCGGGAAAGCGCGGAGCGGCCGCTGCGCGTTAGGCGTCCGCGGCGCAACCCTTGCGCGATCGTAAAAAGGATCCGCGGCCGCGCCCTTCGCTCCCAACCCTTCGCGGAGGCTTCGGTTTGCGCGGACAGCAGGGGTCAGCGACCCTTCCGGGACCCTCGCATCCTGGGTAATAGCCAGGCCGCAATTGCCTGGGGAGGCGAGGCCCTAAATGCAACCGAGGTTCACTCAAGTTTTCAGGGTTGTCGGAGCCTTTGACGGGAAGTCGATGTTTGGAATGTGTTGCGAGCCGATGAAGTTTTCTTTTTTGGCAGGTTTTGAAAGAGTTGTGCATCACAGAAAACATGTAGCTCATCGAAATGTGTTCTTCCGTCAGACAGATGTGCTGATGTGGCAAGTGATGATGCCTGAGTGTCAGGTGAAAAGAGGCGGATATCCCATTTTCGATGCCTCAAGGAGCTTAGGCATGCCAAAGGGGGCTTAAAATATTTTTAAGCCCCCTTTTTTATGGCAACAAAAACAATTTTTAGACTAGAGATTTGTACCTTTTTGCTCAAAATTAATAAAAATAAATAAAACATGACTTCAAATAACAATTTTATTCTAATTTTTAATTTAAAAATAGTCAATAATCATCTATAACATAATACTATCTATGTGAAATTAGCTGCAATATAATTAAATACTATATTGTTCGTTAATGAGAACAAAACAAACTACAAATGTCGTTTACGCGATCTGTTATTATATAATCAGAAATTGTGTCGTAAAAAGCTAAAACCTCAGAGCCTCAGAGCTTATCATTTTAACTGAAGATTATTGTTAGTGAATTGAATTTGTTTTGTCCCATAGTAGCTCGATGCCAGTTTTTAACACTTTTAAGGTATTATACCTGTACAATTTTTAATAATTAAAGTTGCATAGACAATTATAAAAAGTGATTCATAAGATGCCTCTTAGAATAAATCTGCTTTTAACTCCAACAGCAAGTTTATAAAATTTTAATTTATATTTCTTTACGTGACCTTATCATAATTTGTATTTATATTTCCATAAAAACTTGCTGCAAAACTTGCAATTTTGTAAAAAAAAGTTTGAGGCTCTATAGATTCTAAGACCCCCAAGCGGCAGCTTATTCAGTTTAATAGTAAAACCACCACTGAAGCTCAGCCCGCGAGGTTAGAAGTTAAGGATACGTTTCTACGTTTCATGGGTGATTAACGTATTTCAATAGTATTGTAAAAAATCAAACACATGGCGTCTAAACAGAGATTGAAATATGTACTTTTTTGTGGATTAAATCATTATATCACCTAATCGGACCCGCCAAAGTCACGGAAATTCAAAGAGTCCACGCTGTTCATCACATATTTTAAATAAACACCCAAAAGACGATCTATTAATAAAAAAAATTGCAGGTATATAATATTTTCTCAAGAAGGAAGATTTGAAGTGAATTTACTTAATATTCCATCAAAGCAAACAATGTGTTATCATGTGAACATTATTATCTGTTATCGATATATCAAAATAATCAGGGGTTATCACAGCACCATCAAAAGTTTACTAAACGTACGTGAAATAAGGCGAATCGTTTATTCGTGTTACTCACCGTCAACCTTTCTATATGTAGTTTGGTATGAATGAGTACCAAAATAATTGATCACATGAGTAATACAACTCTATCTCCAGAGAACATGGCGCTCGAACTGTAGAAACAAAATTTAATTTTGTTTTTCATTGTTTGGGCGGTTTTTATGACTTTCTCTTTTTCATCATACTTGTATTCAGAGCACTGTTATCTAACATGTTCTCAAATGTTGTAAATGTTAGACCCGATTTACATACTTCCGTTTGGCGAATGATTCTGCAATTTTATCGAAAGCGCACTTGAGCAGTGTTGATAGCTTTTAGCTATCAATACAGTCGTACTTTGCATGCGCGCGTTCAGGCTCGTTCGCAATATTGTTCGTCGATTCTATGTCCAGTAGAAAAGTTTCGTCAAAAGAAATCGGGTCTTCAATTGTAATAAGGAAGCTCAATGACTAGGTGATATAAAAATCTGAATGTAACAGATTGCAACCGACGCTCACAAATGTTTTCAAGATTTCGGATTTTTTTAATAGGGGCAGTTGTTTCAAATTGGTTTCAAGCATTTGAGCCAAGCTTTTATATTATTTCCATATAATTTCGAAATCATTGCGCTTGAACTGTTGTAAGGAAGATTTATATTGTGCATGTTTTTTGCTGATTTTATTTTTTGGTTATCATCTTCTGAATTTTTATTATCGTTAAGTATACTATTTTGTTCTTGTAATTTATTATTCAATCTCATTACTTTATCTTAACTCATTTCAACGTTCTATATTATTGCAGCATTTTTTGACACGATACTATTCACGCAATATCAGATGGTTTAGGTATGGGGCACTGTTGATTTAGTTTCCCCTGTAAAGCGCTGCGTTAAGATCTACTACTATCTGCTTATTTTACCTATTCCACAGCCACTTATAATTCATTTTAAATTTAACAATCTTAATTTTAAGCGTTTTGGTTTTCTTTGCATTTTTAATGTTGCACCGAATGTACGCCACGAAAATATTAACCAAAAGATCACCATTATTCTGCTGCAGCGTAACATAACTTTCACTACACTACGTAGTCCGAGTCTAATTTTTTCACGTCGTCTATCGATATGAATCAAAAAAGCTCTTTAAGTCAAAATGTTTGCATGTTTGCTGAAAAATTAGAACCTGTAGAAAAATTGGAATTTCCCATTTCATTTTAGTTGAATTCTGTCCAATGTGATCTCGAGGGCGTGTGCGGTCTGGTGGCAAAACTAGGTATTCACATAAGTTAATAAAGAGACTTGAAAGATAAAACAAATGAATATACTATAATGAATATAGAAATAAGTTATCGATTAAGCATGTACTGAATAATTGCTTAAAAGGTGTTGGAAAATACAGTAACGCGAATTCCAAGGGACTGGAATAATTGTAGTTCGTGATATAAAAATTATTGTTATCTGAGTATTATAAATGACCGTATTACTGTGATCCCTTGCCGGAATCCATGCTTTGTTCGTGTTAAGGCGAAATTCTTGTTAAGCGTTAAGAGTTCTTGTTAAGGAGGGTTTATTGCCATTCTTTATGTTTTTTGCACATCGAACACCTTCTCTAATTCTTCTCCAAAGAAAGTGAAACGAGCGCGACCACTGAGTAAAAATTAACTGTTATTTACCTGACGCAGATAACCCTTTTCCCTCGTTTCACCTTGAAAACAAGAGAAGGCCACGTGTCGTCACTTCGCGACGGAGGGCGAGAACGACAGCCGCACCACGACTGGCACGTTGGCAAACCTGTTAATGAATTTCGCATTCAGTTACCTGTGGAGCTTCGTTCGTGTCACATCTGTAGCATTGTGTGTGTTAATAAGACTTCCTATTTCTATGAAGTAATGGAGTAATGGTATTGGAATCTGAAAATGAATTAAAGTAAGAATTAGTTTTGACATTAATACTTCCTAGAGGTAACTTATCAAGCGATTTCATGTCATGTATTATAGTCGAAAGATTAAAGTTGCGGAGTATTGAAATTTGTTTTTAACACATAGGTGTTGATCATCTTTATGATGATCTCTACATTACTTCAAATAATTTCAAATTATTTGTATTTCATTTCTTTTATTAAAAATTGTTCATTTGTGCCTGAACATTTTGGATACCATCCACCACAAAAAACTCTTAGAGATAAAACATTTATTTCGTATCAGTAATGCGATGGACATTATTCCAAAATTCAATTACATTAGTAAGTTCTCCTTTATTGTTATGTAAATTTGAGAGTGTTGCAGAATATAGTTGGCTATTTTGTACATAAATAATACCCAATGTGTGCTAAAGAGCAAACTATTTTACAATGAATCCCAGTGCTTTCTAATTAGTGGATGTTCGTTGAAAATGTGCAATTCCTTTATGGTTGAAAATCGTTCGCTCCTATTCATTGGAAAACAAAGGGACCATTTTCAAAAACGCATTTTCTAATGTTAGATGCCTGCGAAGAGATTTAATCCATTCTGTGTTCCTCACACGGTGACATTCTTTTCTATAACCTTGTGGGAAATAAGATGCTCTTCTAATGTAGATTAGTTGATCTCGTTTATTAATTTCTTTGCTTTTGCAAAGTCAGTGATTCCTCTGAGAGCTGGGACAACTTTCATCATTCTCGTCTTTGGGACAGAACATTCGCCTAGAGGTGGGGAATAGGTCATCATGGTCCACACAACCATGGAACCGTCACTGCTGGCTACATGTGCCATTAGATTGTCACGTGCAAAGCAAAGAGTACTTTTCCGCGCCGGAGCTGAAGCAAGAACGGCAAGCGGCGATGTTCAGAGAGTGGAGAGAGGAATGAAAAAGGCTGCGAACGAGTCTGCCAACATGTTTGCGCCGAACAGCTATTACGACCGTACATATAAATAATATACCCATAAATTCAGCAATATTTTATCTGCAATCTCTTCTTCAATTTACGATTTTGATTTAAGAACATTTTTTATCTTTTAGTTTTCAAACGATTTATAATATTATAATACAAGAATAATATAATAATATAAGAATTTTCACCTGTTCTGTTTATTTTCGCTTCTCAATTAGTTAACGAGATATTTCTGAGTTTCCAGGCCTATATATTCGTTTTGCCAATTGCTCATTAGAAGATCCATTTCTATGGATATGAGAAGCAATTTTCTGCTCATTCAAACTGTAATGGCGTTATGTGTATATGTGTTCTCTATTTGAAACAATTCCCCATAACGTCATCTTGCTAGGCGTCGTGTCACATAAATGACCTTCGGGAAGAGACTACCTCACACCATCCACTGCGAGAGAATATCAACTCCCCCGCGCGGGTTGCGGTATGGTGTGTGGTATATGTGTGGTAGTGTAGTTCACGCAATAAATGTAAGTGTATGAAAGTAAGGGTGATGATACGTCAAAGAAAAGATCGGGCGCGGTTCGTGGCCCGTTTGTTAGCGTACTGCTCCGACAATCGCCAGTTATTGATCTGAGAAACCACGGAAAATCACCGATCAGAGCAGCCGATCTTTCGAATTCTCCCTAGGCAGCTGCTGAAATCAACCTAGCGGGGGAAAGGAGAGGAAGTGGTCAGTTTGTTACGACCACTTAACGATAGTGCTCCGGCGTTTTGTCTGTCGATGATCAAAGAAATTACAGAAAACTACCGATCAGAACAGCCGGCGGCTACAATTCTCCTCCAGACAGCGGCTGGACATTTGACCTGGCTAACAAGCTAGTGTCGAAAATCCTGGTACTGTCAGTACTCGATCCCGAGGTTCTTCCGTTCATAGACCCGCAGAGACATCAGTTGGTTCCCTGAGCCACCTAAGCCGGTGATTGGTCCTCGACTTGCCGGTGATTGGCCTTCAGGCAAGAAGCCTTGCTCACACATATGTCGGCCGTTGCTGCTCGCTGCTGCTGCACTTCCAGGCGGGGGCGCGTACGGCGACGGAAGCCGCTGCGGCCCAATTCCAGCGTTTCCTGTTTGGGGCGGCGGCGGTGGTGGCGGCGGTGGCGGCGGCGGCGGCGGCGGCGGCGGTGGCAGCGAGGCAGCCTGCAGCTGAAGCCCACGCTGAGGTACAGTTATACCTAATGGGCAGAAATCGCGGCGCTGGCAGGCAACGACAAAAAAAGGGGGAAATATATTTAACAGGAGGGATCCCCTTTTTCACGGAAAGGGTTGCGGGCGAAAAGGGGCCTTCTCGTGCTGAGATTTTCGGAGGTGCTATCAACGCGGTGGGGGCGGGAGGCGGTGGCGGCGGAGGAAGGGTAGGGTGGTGACGACCACGTGAGGGCAGGGAGTGAGAGAGGTGACGAGAACTAGAAACTGGAGGAGTTGAGGGCAGACCAGAAAGAGGGGAATGATGAAACGCGAGAAGTACAACAATGACAGGGACCAAATGAATACGAACGAGGAGAAGGAAGAAGGCGACCAGAATGAGGAACACATGGATGAAGAACACAGTTATGATTATGTGAAGGAAGAGAATGAGGAACTAAGGAGATCGAATTGTAGAAGGAAGAGTGACGAAGTTGGTGAAAAGAAACGAGGAAGAGGACGAGGTGGGCGACAAGGAAAGAGATGAAGTGAGGAATGACGATCAGAGTAGAAAAAGAAGGATTTTGAGTGTGTAGAAAAGCGATAAGGAGGCTGGCGTAAACCATGAAGAGGAAGAAAATGAGGATGAAATCGAGAGAAGGAAGAAACGGGACCAAGTGAAGAGCGTCGAGAAGGAGCAAGGAAATCGGGAGAACTGCGTCAACCAGTGCGAGAAGGAAGAGGAGCCATGAACAGGGAAGAGGGGAAGGAGAAGACGGCAAGGCTGTGACGCAGGTCGCTCCAGCCCTGAGGACAGGAGAGAGGGGCGAAGCGGCGTGGCTCGAGGGGGCGGGGAGGGAGGGGCGTTCGGCGCGGAAGTAACGGTACATAGACTGCGTGTTCCGGGTGGTGCATCGCGCGGCCGCGAGCGGCTCTTTTGTTTTTGTTGTTTTTTGTCTGGAGAGCGCTGCGCCTGGCCACCGCCACCGCTGGCACCGCCGCTACCTTCGCCGCCTTTGCCACTGCAGCCGGCTCTGCGCTCTAGCGCCACCCCTCACTCAGCCCCCCGCGGCACCTCGCCCCGGGTGCTCGGGCTTGCGTCTCGCCGCGAACAGGTTGAACAGATGCGCGGACGGTGCGGCGTACGAAGCAATGCCGATCGAGGTGTAGCCGATGCTGGGGAGGATTCAGAAAACATATCGGAAAGGGAGGGGGAGGAGATTTGTTCAGATACACACACTTTATTGACGAATTTTTAAATGTCAGCTTCGAATATGTATGAAATGTGTATTAATAATCGAAATTACTTGTTTTCGATGTAATGAGCAATGTGTAGTAATATCTTTGAATAAATCGAATTATATTACATTCAGAGCCATTCATTTGGGGTGAGGAGGGGTGTGGGTCTCTTCAATATACCATTGGGCTGATGGTTTCAGTAAGTGTCAGTCTTTGATGAAAGCTGCAGGTCCAAATAATGAAATGTTCATATGACAATATTTTATTATAGTCCTCTCTTTTCCCCTTTTTGTGATTGACCTCCTTAATGTTTTATGTTTCCTTTCCTCTTTTTCACTTTTACTTATATAAGTTACACCAAATCCAGCAGTAAGGCGTGTGCATTTGTGTATCGTAGTCGTACTCATCCAATGTTTGAGGAAAATGTTTTTATGGAAAAAAATAGAAGATTCTACCTTCCTGCTAATTCACACATATTTCTCTCTAACCTCCATCTTCATGGCTAGAGTAACAACTAAAGCAGAGAAATTGGTGGAGTGGGCGATGAAGTAGGAGGAGGTGGGGAGGGAACTAGGGTGACAACAGATGGAGATGGTGCGGAGAAGAAGGTAAAGAGGTGGAGCTGAGGTCGTTGGAGGATGTGATGGATAGAGGAGAGGTGAAGAAGAAATGGGGCAGTGATGAAGGGGTTGATAAGGTGGGGCCAATAGGGGTTGATGATCGGGGCGATGACGGCGAGTGATGTTGGGGGTGATGGGGAGGAGTCTTATAAAATAATATGGGAATGGAGAAAGAATGGATTGTCATGCAGGAGAGACGGTAATGGTATGAAGGAGGGATGGATGAAAGGTAGAGGAGGGAGCGGTGGAAAGGGCGGTAGAAGTGGTCAGGATAGGTCGAGCGGGGGCGGAGGTGCAGGCACCTAGCCCCCGGCGCCCGCAGCGCCCGGAGGCCACGGGGAGTGTGAGGTGGCAGCAGCGGTGGAACGCGGACGCAACCCCTGAGGCGACCCACCCGTTCGCTCGGGCCTTCACCCTCGTCTGCAGACTGCCAGCCTCCATCACCACCGCCGCCGGTAACGGGGTTCGCTATTTCACGCGCACCCCGTCAATTAAGAAGAAGAAGAAAGCTGCGAGGCGTTTCCCCGTCCGGGGATGGATGCGGGAGATAACCCTTGAATGATTGCCCCTACGAAATGCGTTTTGGGCAAAGGTCCTCGAACGGGGGTTGAATTCCGTTATAAGCGGCTGACAGTTATTTGGTGAGAACTGTGCTAAGTAGTACACCGTAACTTTTTGACAATAGCGCTTATTTTTTGCCACTAGCATGACAAATTTAAATTGTACTACCTTACAGCATGTTGATGAAATCAATTTTATACCGTAGAAGAATAAGATTTCATCGGTGTCACATCTGAGCAGCATGGTTACGAGGCAGACCGTCGAATGGATTAGCAGACCTCCCCGATTGACAATATGAAAGCCTAACAATGAAGAGTAGCTGAAAATATTAAAAAATCTTATCCTTAAAGCTGTATTATTGTATTTAAAAAAATAATTATATATTCCTGCAGTGCATAAGAAATATATTATTCTGACGAATTTCAAAGGGTTATGAACTCTATATCAAGAGATCACGCAATGCTTTTTCGAATTTAACGTTTCAAATAACAAATGATCGGTATTGGTGAGCGATTTTCATCTTAGTAGATGGTTTCAAAATCAAGTTTACAATAAACAATATTCGCAGTACGACATAAAATTCCAAACATTAGAGCACACTTTCTATTTTAAAACACTCACGTTCTGTTATGTATTACAAAAATCCGACTTCTTTAATATTTAGAAGATGCTTAATTGTAATATTTTATTACAATTTTTTGTGAACATCACGTTAGAGATATTAGAAGCATGACATTACTTGAAGCTACTCCCAAAAATTACAAAAAGGATCGCAAACCACGATAGGAATTCAAAAAGAGCCGCTATACTAATAAAACAGTATGAATTTCAAATTCTACTCCAAAAATCCGCATGGGGCACGACTCGAGGCAGTGTTGGAGAAGGCGTGTCGTGAGGGGGAGGGGGGTTGCCTCGCTAACGGTTTGCAGCAGGTAGACCGAAACAACGAATCTTCCTTTAAATTTGAAAAATCTCCTCACGGCGGGGTTCCCACCACCCCTTTGATTCCACACGCAGTTGGCGATGGGAGCTTCACGGTTGTCAAGGGCTCCTGCTGCCGCGGCGCCCATCCCTCGACTGGCGGAACCACCGCGCAGTGGTCTGGTTGTGAGAAATGCGCGGACGAAATTCCAAATCAGTGTCTATTTTTATTCAACAGAATTACACTAAAGAGACCAGACATCCCACTAACGGCAGGACTATCCCGCTTTAGTTACGCTCCCTGATGTCTCCACGATTTTCATTTAGGCATGTTCATCACACAAACACTTGACGAGTAGTTACTTTCATGAGCTAAGAACGCGAACAAAAATGTAACACCACTCTTTTAGTGTAAGGTAATTACGTGATATCTTACATTACACTTATTCCAATACAATTCTTGGTCTTTTTTACTACAATGGTTATTTTTTGTGAATTCGGGTGAAGTCGCATCTTTCGTGAGGAATGTGAATTCTATCTCCTCTATCTATTTGATCTTTGAGAACGTCTTTGGAATCTAAATTTTCGTAGTACATATATTCTTAACCATGACAAAATGTTATCTTACCAAAACTACTTCTCACAAGACTTTAGACAACATCATGTTCGATGAATTATTTACATCATGTCGTTACATTATGTCGAAAAGAATGATTTCCCCATACTCCCCATCCCTTCCCAACCCGGTTTATTAGCGCCCTTGCTTTGTGACTAAATGACCTGGTGCAGTGGTACGTTGGCACGTTGGCACGTTGGCACAACACTGGTAGGACTGGTAGCTCCGATCGATTCGTCAATGAAGTAAGTCGCCGAGGAGCCTGTTCGAGGAAGCTGGTAATGGGATGATCGCGGGCTGAACTCCGTTGGAGAGTGCTGGACAGTTACTTGATGTGAGAATTGTCAACTAATTTGTGGTTCCTACCGAAACCGTGTTTGTAGTCTGCACTGAACGTAGTTTTCAATTTTTACCAGATCTAACAATGTCCGAGTAATTCTATATTATGCAACCGGCCATGGACCTTTGCGATTCTCCCTTCCTAAACGTGTTCTCTCTCCCACCCTTACGACTGAGCGATGGGTTGATGGGTCGCCCATCCTCATGCAGCCCACTTATTAAAACTCTCTAAATGATGCTTGAAGTCCGGAGACGCAGGGGGAAAACTTAACCGCTGATGATCTTCTCTCTCGTACGTCACATACAGTTATTACTGTTTTTTTTTACTAAATATATCTAAATCTAACCTCATCCTCGTCAGACAGTCGTTCGCTTCACTGTCACGCTTGATATCGCTGTTTTTTTTATATTTTATTTAACCCACAAATACTTGGTGATACAGAATAGTGAAAGTCACTTGTTGGAACAACATTTTTCACATTGTAATGTGTAATTGCATATGTGACTGATCTATCAATTAACTTCTTCAAACGAAGTAACAAATTATTATTATTATTATTATTATTATTATTATTATTATTATTATTATTATCATCATCGTCATCATCATCATCATCATCATCTGACAGAAATGCAAAAAAAAATATTAGCATTGTCTGTGAGACGTATTGCATTGGTACTTTCTATTATAAACTTGATGTGTTTGAACGAGTGTAAATGTTTAACTTTATCTCTTTTACCAATTGCGTAATATTTAGTAATGCTTCTCAATCAAATGCATATATTTTACAAAAACCTATTACTGTGTTGCATTTATCTTTGATACATATTGCTCCCTGTAATTTAATGTAATGTCTAAGTTTTATTTAATTTTCATACGAAGGAATTAATCTACATACCACGAACGACTTAGGTTTTAGTAATGTTGGGTGAAAGTTAAGGCTAAGGCCCGATCAGATATGTTGCGCAAACGCCTAAAAAATAAAATAATGTTTCTATTTAAGTGGCTCTTAGTAGAGAAGTAGCTCTTGCAGTTAAAAGTCACTGGCTTAGAATAATTCCCTATTAATGTAGGAAATATTCTTTCCGCCTAAGGTGAGCTCTGATACCACTGTGGGCTGCGGTCGGGGCAGAGGGTGGCCCATGCCTGTCGCTGCGGCCTGTGGCGCAACCGGCAGCGACCTTCGTAATTAATTGTTGTTGGAATTAGGCCACGGCGGCGCCGCTTACCCTCTCCTCCTCGCGGAAGCTGCTCTGGCTGCCGTGACAAATTGGGCGGAAAGGGAGAATACAATGAGGCACAGGCTGCTGACTCCGGAGGATGCAGGAAGTGCCATCGGAGGCAAGACTGGGTAGGTGGGGGGTTCACGGCTTTAGTGCGGGGGACGCTTGAGATATTATTTAAGGGGGAGGTCGCTTTAAACGAGGGGATGGGTGGCGTACTGAACATTTTACAACTTTTTATTTAAAACATTATGTTTTTTCCCATTAATTGTGAAGTGGTGATAAGTGGGGGCAAGGACACCTACATAATCCCTGGTCCCATTGTTACTGCCTCTTTAGGCTGAAGTGATTTTCTCGATCTTTGTGCTGCTTTTTGGTCAAACCTGCTTATATATCCTTTCCATCTACACCAATCTTCACTATGTTTGGCATGGCACTAACAGACCTTATTACTGACGTTTGAACTAGTCAGAACTGAAAAGCTTCTAATCTGTTTGAGGAACCTCTCTGTACGCAACCATCCTTTCAGTCAATGGTAAAAAAAGTTTCTGGTCTTGGGGGCTCTCAAAATGAATTTTACCATCAAAATTTCAACGTCAAATTTTTTACTAATACTCATACTTTTTGTGTAAAACACTACTTTTGTTCCTAAAGTGTCTATTTTTGTGTATTGTCGAGAAACATTTAAGGAAACAATTCTTCAAAAACATAATTTATTTGTATCTAATAATTATGAAATTGAAATATATTTTTTCGAATTTGTTTTTGATTAAAAATACACAAATCAATGGAAGTTTTTTAAATAGTTCTACTAGTAGATACTACTTTTATACATGAAATAAATGAAATTTAAACTTGGCACAATATTTAAAATATTAAGCTATTTCAAAACTACTATGCAATTTTCCCTTTAATTAAAAAACAATGAAAATTGAATTTAAAAAAGTATGTTGTGTTTCTTCAATTTCTTCACAAGATGGCGACAATAGTGTCTTTTTTAATTAGTTTTCAATAAAAATGGATTTTTATACTCATTTTATTATATAAATATATTTTTATGCTCATTTAATATTTTTACTTCTTGCGTAATTTCAATGGGGGAGGGTTATGCGACCGTACCTTCTCTCTCTCCTCGCTACACCCGTGTTGCATCATAAGTTCAACCTGCTGTTCTCTGGTCTTGACCCGCTGGGCAAGCAAATGTCGCGCCGCGCGCCCTCCTCTGTTATTAGCCCGGGGACGCGCCACCTTCGCAGGGCGCGTCCCCGGGAGTGGAAGTGTTTGAACAGCGACGATACGACGCGCGCGCCGCCGGCGGTGGTGGCGGCGGTAAACGATCGTCATTTGTTTCTTCAAGGCGAAACGCTTACTGGCACGGTATCTGCCTCAAATTGCTTTTGCGTTGCTGTGCTTAGCCTGAAACCATAGTGGCCTCCTAGCCCCGAGTCTAACGGTGCCTGAACAACCTTGGATGTCATATTTTTGAAAATATAGTAGTTGGTTTTTAGAGCCATTTGAGAGTAAAGTAATTTTTCATTCACGAGTGAGAGGATTTACCCTTGGAGGTCACGATAGGATACGAATGGTTTAATTTCCATGAGTGAATACAACTATTTACTCTTTTTATCCACTGCCATTAAGTGGAAGCAAAAAATATTAAAGGAAAATTTAAACGCTGTTATTTTTTACATCATAACAGATTGTTAATTTTATTTAGAATGTTGTCCAGGAGGTGTTAACAAAATTACACATCAATGTTTGTAAGTTGAACAGGTTATTTGCGAAAGAAAGAATTATTTCATATCTCTGCTCTTTACGAAAATGATTTGCTTAGAAAACGCCTTATATTTGTTAAATGTAAGAACGACGTGTTTCTGAATATAATCTAAGCAGCACCGCTACTTTTTTTTAATGTAAGGTCGCGTCAACTACGTAGGTCATAGCGAACACTGTTGTGTGTAACGTATGGTCAAACTATGACACGATATGATTGATCATAGGAGTGTAAAGACGTACACAATAAACCATCGCCCCGAGGCCGGGACTCTAACCCGCGATCCCTTCTGTCGAGATCGCCTACGGACCTGCATACATCACCGCGCCGAAGTTCCATCCCTATCTGCCAGCCTCTTCACAAATCTTAACACCTCTCCAACCACACGCAGCGAGCGCGTCTTATAGATCTGAGCGTTCATCTCTAACTCAAATGTCTACATTTAGAGTGAGAGGTGAGGTATCCACTCGTCGTTACGATGATGTGTTGTCCTAGACACACTCTCCGCGAGCTTCACAATCGAACTGCTATCCAGCGCTCATGATCTATCCACACTCTCTCTAAAATCTCGTATCTAACAACACTTAGCTACCTGACACATACTTCTACAGTCAGCATGCGGCTGTCTCTTATCACATACCGATTTAACAAGAGAATAAAATCGTCACATATGTTACTAAGATCGACGAAACAAATCCTTGATTGAAAAGCACTAATCGCAAAAATATGAAATTAAAAGCCATATTAGGATTCTTGTAGGTTAAGGCATTAAATAAAACTTAGTTGTATGTTAAATAAAATTGAGCCTTTGTTAGCTATTTCTGATCTGAACATATATGTCTGAATATTTCACATTTGTACCATAATATAATCATAATATCACACATATTTCTGAACAGTAAAAAATGTAATGGTTTTCATTAGATAATTTTCTTGTTATAAATTCACTTATATTTATATATGTAGATTATAATATTGAACGACAAGGTAAATAAACTAAACTGTCAATTAAAAATATGTTTATGCCTTACAACTGAAACAAAGGATTTGCAGTGCACTCTTATCGAACTGGAAAGTGTCATATATGGTATTAAGATGAAAGGAATAGAAATGATTCCTCATTGTAAAAAATCTCTTGAGAAATATTATGAAAAGTGGACTTGTGTCCTTTAGATCTCCTATCTTCATTTATTTTTACATATTTCATTTGTACTTAAGATATATCATAAACATGAACACATCAATATCCTAAAACATTTTTATGACGTAACTCCTGAAGGGACACCTGTGAAGAGATAACTTGGCAATGTTACCGTTCCCGATCAATAATATATCTGTCAGCTGGTGAGGAACTGTGATGGCGACTGATGCAATACTGCATTTCCTCCGAGATCTGGAAAAATGTTGCCTTCATCTCTGTAAATGCTTGTCATCCTCGAAAAGTAAGGATACCGTTAAAACGGACTGCCATTTCTAATGTTTTTTCTGACACGTCTAAAAAATTAATTTTTTATTAGTGCTGGAGTATATCAGCAGTAGATAATATATTACTAAGACAATTCTCTAATCATAAAGGAAAATACTGATTTACGAATGTATGCAAATATCACAAAAGTTTTGAATGAAAATAAACTAATGACAAATGAATAAAATGACTGGAAAGAAACATAGTAAGTAGAATTTTATATTTCGTTCAAAAGAGTATTTACTCGTAGTAATACTCTTGTGTTAAGCGAAATATTCTTGGAGAGTTCTTTATTCCATAAATCATGAGTTGTACTCAGGATCATAAATTGATCGCCAATAAGATACTTTTCTAGAAATTTCATCTTCCTCCGAATCACTGTTGTCACAAACCAGTTCAGTATCAGCAATTTCAGAATCTGGCACATATTCATATGCTGTAAAACAATTGCTAAGTTACTACATTACATTCACTGTACTAGATTCACGTAATTAAGATAATTGTCAATTATTATCTACATACCTTCTACAATGAGTGAGGCAGAACTCTCAGCTTCACCCACGGAATTTATAGCACGACAGGTGTAAGTCCCTGCATCTTCTGGAAACACTTCATCTATGCTCAGTTTACAGACACCTTCTGAGTCTTGATATATTCTGAAATCTTTTTCATCTTTAAGTGGTTCATTTTCATGAAACCATGTAATATGTGGAGTTGGTTTTCCTACAACCTAAAATATTGACAATTATTTCGTACTGCTAAAAAGTGCAAAAAGATACAAACAAAATATAAAATGGTCAAATCATTCCATTTACAAAAAAGTTTAGAAGAAACACACATCTCGCAGCCACACTTGTTTAATATTAACGGAATAGGGTCTTGTGACATGTTGGTTGGCAGAATCTGGATTTGATATGTGTCTCTTTCTTTCTGAAGGAAATAAAGATCAATAAACTTAACAAAAATGCAGAAGTGAATTTTGATAAACAATGGAATGAATTAGTTTTGTTAGCAAACACCTCATCTAACCTCACCTGACAAAGAAAACTAAATTCTTCTCCGTCCATAACACGCACAGAGCTCAGTTTTTTTACGAAACGAGGCGATTCAAATACTTTCACTTCTTCTAAAGAAAGCTCCGATAATACATTAATTGTGGTCGTATACGTCACCGAGCCACCTACATTCTCAGCTCGGCATGTGTATGCTCCTGTATGGTGAGTTAGGGCTTTGTCAATCAATAGAACCGAATGATTCGCTGTTGTTGGACAGACATTTAATTCAGAAGATAACTGAAAAAAAAATTAACCATGAATATTTCAGCGAAGAATCCAAATGCAGACATATCTTTTTAATCCATAAAGCGCTATATTTTCTAAAAATCAAGCCTTAAACGAGTTTGCAGTGACTTTTTGATTAGCAAACAATTAACTTTACTTTCCCAACGACCAGGTCCAGTTTCACTTTCTCCATTTCCAAAAGTACGTATTTCATGAAAGTCATTCTTCCCCTCGACACTTCGATATTATGATCAGTAAAGTATCAAACGTTCGTGAACCATTACTCCGTTGTGTTGCTCGACAGTATTGAAAATATTCTCTTCCTAATCTATTCTGCTAGAAATTATTAGTTAAATAATATGAAAATTCATTCTGAGAATTCAGGATTTATTACTTTGTATGAAATATATAATATCCTGGCTTTGAGTTACCCACGTGTAATCATCGGAAGTTTGAAATTAACTAACTTTTTTAAAAATTGGCTACGATTTCATAGGGAGCAAACATTTATTTTAAAAATTGAATTTAGAGCCGAACGTATAAATAGTAGAGTTGAACAGTATAAACATGGAGGATTCAGAACCGAATTGTATAAACAGAGCGAAGTCAATCAGTATAAACATGCAGAAACTTACCGTAATCGGAAGAGAATGTTGAAACCACTGGAAAGAACATGTGGGGTACGATTGAACGAATGTTTCCAGTATCACGACATCTCCTATAGCAACAGCAAAAGCTTCAAGGGGTTTCACAAATCGCGGAGGAATCACTTCTTCCATATCAGGTTCAGGATCTACATAATCACAAAATGCAATTATATAATTGTGTGCGTTGACAAGAAAGGCAATGCGACACAATATTCACCCGCAAGTACCTGTTACCGAGACAGTCCCCGAACTGCGTGCTTCTCCTTTACAGTTAAGTACTTGTATTTCATATTTGCCACTATTCTGTCGGTATGCCTCAGATATTTGAAGACATGATCTACATTCAGTTGTCGTAATTTTGACATCTGTATTTGATATCTCTTTTCCCTTGAAATACCATTTGACGGAAGGCAATGGAGTACCCTCAAATTGACACTCCAAAGTTATAGATTCACCATAACATACTATTTTTGCTTCCAATGGTTGTGTAATTTTAGGAGCTTCAAGGACAATAGGTTCATGAACTTTGGATACTTTACCTAAAATAAAGTTGAGTCAGTTTCATCCTCATCATCGCATGTTCACCATCCACATCAATAGCAAATGCAAACACTGACCAATAGAGAGATCTATGCGGCATTCTGCAGATCCAAATGAATTAACAGCCTGAACACAGTAACTACAAAAGTCTTCAGGTGTGGGCTTCAATATCTTCAGAGTTGCAATTCCCGATTCAGCGCTGTATGTGATTTTCTTCCCTCTCAATGACGTAATTTCCTGCTTTCTGGCAAACCACTTTATCACAGGAGCAGGCGTACCAACAACGACACATTCTAATGTCAACGGTAGTTTTGGATTTATCTTCCGGGTCTTCAGAGGTTGGCTAAAATGTGGGGCAATGCCTGATTCCTCCTCATCTTCATCTGTAACAGATTTTACGACTATAAAAGTGCAAAAATTAAAATAACAACATGCATGTGAGTTTCTAAAGTAGTAATACATTTCAAAATGAATACAATATTCAAAAACATGTTTACCTAAGAAAAACGCCTAAAATCATTAATATTATTATTTGAAACTTAGAAAAAAATTACTTACCAGTGCTCATTTGGAACGAGTTTAATGTTATCAACATTTTTTGATGATCTTAAAAATGATTAATTGAAAAATCTAACTACTAATACCACCAGGAAAGTATAATTTCCAATTTACCCATGCAGTTTGACGCCGAGTTAATGTTTGTTTATGATGGGCATGGACTGACTTGTGAGTAGCAAAGGAAGTGACCGACACCCTGTTCAAAGGAAGGCCCGAGCGCAACTGAAATGGTTTCGCTGGCAGCAAGCCCTAAGCATCGCATTGCCGCCAAATGTCCCATTCTCTTCGCAAAGCTATTTAAACACACAACCTTCCTGCACAGTTTGCTCCTAAATTTATCGCTCAAGAGAAAGAAAATAATGCTAATGCTTTTGCTCGCTTATGCCAAAACTTTCTCTCTTACGCTCACTGCAACACAAACTATATTTTTTTGGTTTGGCACGCATGTAGTTCACCAACACCATTTTCCGGGATGTAATTATAGATCTCCAGGGGCACCTGAGGGAGGTGAAAAGATGTTTTTTCTCGTAGAACTCGTAGACATAATTAAGGTGTAACCAAATATAACTGCCTAAAGATACAGTCGCAATGTAAGGTGTCACCGTTAGAATTACTTTTGTTCTAAAAGGTAATCAAAAATATAGGAAAATCAGAAAACATTTAATATATCAAAAACAATTCAGAATGGACATAAATCTTAATAACATGATCGACGTACCTGGGTATTGTATCTACATATATCTGTTTTTCAAGTACAATTTTGTGTAGAAAGTATTCATAAACACATTCTAATTCCGAAATTTACATGAAATGTGTACATTGAATGCCAACATCAAGTTTGTAAGTAAGCTTCATAATTTTTCGCTTCTAAATTTCAGATGATGTAGTTAAGAAAAAAGAACATGAAAATTTAACATATAACCACATATTAGTGTAAGGTCATTGAGATGAAAATATATTGAAATACTATTTCACAATATCATTAACTTTTTTGAGAAAAATAACGATCAATGTTTATTTCCTACATAAGAATTTTTAGGCGCTCATGTCCTTTATTCTTAACTAAATCATCTGAAATTTTGAAGTGAAAAATTACGAAATCTAGTAGCAAAGTTGATGTATGTAAAATGCATCATGAATGAGAGTTTATTTATCTTTTCCTCCAAATATTATTTAATTTTTCTTTAAATCTGACACATCATCATATTTTGGGGGGCCATATTCATAATCGTACTTCATTTAGTTATCGGCACTGTCAGATATTTATACTGAACTCAACGTATGACTCTTGCTCTAAGTCGTTCATGACTTTATGCATTTTCGTTACGGACAAAACCTTTCATTTTTACAACAAATACGAAATAATTGTAAAGTAAAATGATGTGACCTGAAAACGTATTGCATCGCAAAAAATATAGAGGAATAAGTATTGTATAAAGATGGCATGTTTTTTAGTTGTTTGTCGTAAATTGTTTTGCAACTGACTTTCTTAACTGAGAAACTAAAGATTACGTTTTTGATTGATAAATGAGCAGCTAGCGACAAACACGGAAAGGATATGTTGCATTGCTTCTCAGTAAATAAAATAAAACGGTAACGCGCTAAAAGGTTAGGGATGATCAAAACTTCAATTATTTAAAAAATCCACAAAATAAGCTCCCTATTTTCAGCACTTGGAAATTTCAATTTCGCATAGAATTTTAAATAGGCAGACAGATAATGACGGAAACAATAAGAACTGACTTGATTCATAAACACTATCTTTCCTATTGATTCAGTCTCTTAAGAGTGTGTCAATCGCATTTCTATTCTTCTTTTTCCATGTCCGATGTTAACTCGCCGCCTCATAATCTAGAGGCTACTGGTCATTGCTCGAATGGGTTACTCCTTGTATAACGCGAGGAACCATATTAAAAGGAAGAAACTTTGTTCACTGCAGTGAACAGCTTTACTCACTGACCGGGAGGTTCTAGGTTTCAGACGCAACGGTGGCAGGATTTTTCTACACTAGCTAGATATCAAGGTCGAATTAATCCGCTATCTGAAGGAGAATTCTAGCGGTCGGCAGCTTTCCTGTGTTTCTCCGAGCACCAGGCGAATGCCACAGCAGTACCCTAAGAAATAGGCCACGGATCTCACGCGATGTTTCCTTCCTCTTCCTTGACCTTCTTCCTCACCCCTTACTTACATTTACACTTACTTCACTGCCGCACATGTTGGGAGACCATTCCGGACCTCCGAGCTTGTCCCGACTGAGGCGGTGCCCCGCTGGAGGAAGATATCAGTTTAGGGAAAACCTCGCATGACAAGTAGGTGGCGCCGGCTCTCACCATCCAGTTTCATCAGGGTTAGATCACCGCTACCTCCCGAGGTAAACACATGTACTACACTTAAGGAATAATGACCATAGTAGGAGACGCGATCGGAATCTAAATGATTGCAGATAAACGTTTATTCTATTAATTTTAGAATATCATTAAACATTTGTGTTTATACAATGAAACCGATTAATAAGGAGCAAGCCCACTGCGTTTCATTTGCAAAAAAATCATAAACATTGGTTGAGTAGAAAACTCGTGCTTCATTCTAAACAAAATCCTTAATGTTTTTTTATCTAAATAGATATTAAGGATGAATCAAAACTCGAGGGCAGTACTTCGAAAATGGACTCGTTTTATACAGAAATATTATTTTACGGATAGCGTCCGGAAATTCATAGTTGTGGTGTCGTTACATGTTTTTTCCGTGTCTGTGTTGAGATCAACTTCTGTTGATGAATCAAAATCTCCGTGTATGCATTTGGCACTTCGTCAGTCAGTGCGCACAATGAGAGGAGATATGATTATTCTCTCTCAAGCTGCAAAGACGAGCGATTGTTTCAACCCCTAATCCTTATTGGCTATTTTTGTGTTGGCATAGTCAATGTTTATATTTTAAGAATTCTATAGTAAATGGAAATTTAATAATTTTGTGCTGACAGGTAGTTACGACAGTGTTTGGTCGAGTTTTGCAATGTAGTATGGTTGCTAGGAGGGAAGAAAACAAGTGGAGCTTGTTGATGAGTCGGTTGTGATTTTGTTGAACTGGATGACGGAAGGTACCGTAGCGTTGTATGTATAAAATTCTTAAAAGTTATTTAACTTGTGTATTAGTGAGTTTGGATGTCAAAAGCATGCCTCAGTAGTTTAATCTCAAAATTGGTGAGCAGGATACAAATAATAACTTGGAACTAAACTCCGGTCGTATATTTTAGAGACTCTAGAGAGTAGAAAGAAATACATTTCATTTGTTTATTAAACTGATTCAATTAATTTATGGAAAAAAATCTTTACGCCACGTTTTTGGCTATGGTTAGACAAACGAATGTAAGTGTAACTAGACAACGCAGGACGTTTATCAACTGAAACGTGGGAAAATGTGGACTTAGAATTTAGTTTTGTAGATCATAACCTAGTGGTCAGAATTCAAGAAACAGGGAATCATTTTGAAGATTTCATCTCGTACGTGAAAAGAGTATTTCAGCAGTACAAACACAATAAGTAATGATTTTCCGGGTTAATGTAATAAATGCAATTTCTTGTTCCTATAACACATCCCTTGTTGAAGTTAGGCCGTACAGCTTCGAAGCATCCTGCAACGTTTTATAAGTTAATGTTCATAAGTTTCAAAAGATACTCCGAAAGGTCAGACGTCTTGAAACGGCTCGCTACTAGTTGCGTGGGCGAGCGAGTCCTTGAATAAAGGACTTGTGCTAGTCTTTCCTGCCAATTCACTCGTGTTTGTAATTAGAAGTTTTATATAACAGAACTTGCCCTACTTTCTCTCTCCGTCTGTCTGTCTCTCTTTCTCTCTCTTCCTCTCTCTCCCTCTCCCTCTCTCTCTCTCTCTCTCTCTCGTTCCAATTGCGTTACAGCCCAAGCCGAGCACTGTTCTGGCATTCTGTTCTATCACCACTTGCATTGGTGATAAGACTGGAAATCCTACTATCAGATTAACCAATATGGGGAAAAATCATTCGAGCGAAACTATGGAACTTAGTAGTAACCTGTTGAGGAAGGAATAGCCGTGTGCGGACCGTTGATATTATTGATATTGTATGTTTGATATTATTTTCGTCTGAAGGAGAGCAAATTTACTGGGCTAAAGAAGATAAGCACTCAAAATCCGTGTGCGGAGAAAAGTACTTGTTAATATTACAAAGGAGCGAGATTCTTCCACAAATACAAGTACAAACGTGAAAATTGTCTTTTTCATCCCCTCGTTCCCCTTCGTACAATTGAAATATGTCTTTAACCCATCATGTATAAAAACACAACATGAACTTTTCTTCTTTACCAGTGGCAGAATTACAAAAATATTATATGAGCAGTATAAAAAAATAAAGATGCATTTTATAGGAGATATATCAGTAGTTTTCAGTAATGAATTTTGTTTTCTGAGATACCTTTTAGGCCTGTTTTGCAATTTCTCTATAAATACGTAACGAGTTTTGTAGTGTCCATACACTTTTAAATTACTCCCGCTATCGTAGAACCTCGTATCAAAGCGGCCAAGCCACTCCTCTAATACCATGTTCGTATTCCTGTCTTCAGCTGGCCAAGCGTTCGCCAACAGAGGCATTGCGATGCGGCGCCGCATCGCACGCGTGCCGGGGCGGGGAGCCCAGCGGGTGAATCTGGCCGTCACCCGGCCGCGCATGGCGTCGTTCTCCGATCGATATCTGGCGTCGTAATTATCGCCGGATGACCGAGGACTTTCCCCCACCGCCACTCGCTCCACTGCGTTTATGTTCCCGTCGCCTCTGCCGCCTACTTCACCCCCATCCCGCCCAACCGTTTCTGCCAGTTTCCCCGCCAATGCAATTGCCTTCGCGCCAACAAAACCACTGATGTGGCCTCCTTCGCCCACCACTGGACGCTCTCCGCAACCTCACTTCTCTTTCCTCGAACGTTCTCCTCTTTTCTGCAGGGCCGTTCATATTGGGCCCGTTCTCTCGTCACGCTCTCCACGCCTCTTCCTCCCCGGCAAAACAAAATGGTAGCTTTTTGCTACTAACACATGGCGTCTTCCACAAACATCGGGGTTACCGGTTCTTCGGAAGCCACCCTGCGCGCCACTGCATCTTCACGGGTCCCTTGCCTTCTCAGCTCTCCTCTCTCTCCCTCCTCTCACTGTATCCCAGTTCGTCTTCCCATCCTTATCTCGTCGTC